CTTCCCCTCCGCCTTCCTCTCCCTCTCCCCCTCCCCCTCCCTCTCCTTCTCCTTCCTCTTTGCCAGCGTCCTTTTCTTCTTCTTCTTCTTCTTCTTCTTCTTCTTCTTCTTCGTCATCATTTGCCCCCCCATGCCGGCTGAGATCGGCCCCTCCTTTGTCTTCGTTGTCTATATTGGGACGTCGGCAGGTTTGTTCATTCTCTCCTCTCCCCAGTCCCCCTTCCTCTCGACGTCGTGTTGATGCTAATCTGCGGGTTTTCTTTGTCTTATCGACAGCCTTCTCTGCCACGCCGACGGCGTTCGTCATTCTTGCGCCGACCCCGCCAGATCAGATCTAGCTTTCCAGTGCTGACCGAATCGGATTTGCGGGTAGATCTACCAAATGCTTGTGGGTTGACAGCCACAAATGTCTGCCTACCTCAAGGGCTTATCAGCATCAATGTTATACTGCTTCCCATTTTGTTACAATTGCTTATCAGCTTGACGCTGTTGAAAATCAGTTGTTGTATGACCATAATGGTCCACCGCGAGCCTCTACTGTAAATGTCCTACAGCTAGCTTTCCACGGTCGCCACCTCCTTATGCATCGTGCGACGCCAGGCTATGATCCTCATTTTTCTGCCTGTATTTTGCACAGACCCGGGCATTATGTGGCACTCATTCGTGCAGCTGCCCAGTGGGAACTGTGGGATGGTGGGACAATGATTCAGGCTATTTTCAACATAAATGAATTTCGATGTGAATTACCGAAGCATACTTTATTCTGGATTATTGATCGACTCTCGTGTGACACCTGTCGGGACAGGGACGCGGTGCGTCTTGGCTGCGGAATTCATCACCTATGCCATCAACATTATCAATCTATTGCAGCCGCCGCCGTCTGTGCTGAAGGGTGTCCAACATTTCCTCATTGTACACATCCCTATCACCCAGATATTCGCTGTCCCTTTTGTGCTCAAGGACGCTATCAGGACTGCATGATGCCGCACTGTGATGAACGTCCTGCTGTTTTCTTGACATGTGGACAGCATGTCCTTTGTCAGGACTGTTTTGATGGGATGGTCCGTGCTAGCTGTCCTGCGGAATGCTGTGCTGAAGTAGCTTTCCTTGGGTATCCTTGTGAACATCCACGTCATCCTCAGCGTGCCTGTCCTATCTGCCGGGGTGGGGTGGGGGCTCCTCTTCCTGACTGGTCAATAGAATTAAGCGACCAGGAGCAACACTAATTGTTGAACAGATAAAAGAAAGAAAGAGAAAAAGTACAATTTCTGGTGAAAAGAAAAAAGAAAACAAGAAAAAATAAAAAAATAAAAAAATAAAAAAATAAAAAAATAAAAAAATAAAAAAATATGTTGAACTTTGTAGTGACAGTGGCAATTGGTTTATCTGTGGGATGTGTCATTTGCTTTCTTTCTTTGTCTTTTTTTTTACCTTTCTCTTTCTCTTGCCTCTGTAAGGTCTGGTTTCCTCAAAAAAGAAAAAAAAAAGAAAAGAAAAAGGTCTGGTTTCCTCCTCTTCTTTACTTCTGTTTTGCCTTTTGGCTGCGTGCAAGTGGGTCCTTGTGACACATGGGGATGCCAGCGCTCAACCTGTCATCCACGTGGCTGGCCTTGTACGTAAGAGGTGATGAACAGGTGGGGCTTTCCTTCCTTCCTTCTTTTCCTTTCCTTGTTTTGCTTTTTTTTGCCTTCGCGCTCTGATTCACAGTGTGACAATATATTTTTATCGATTCCAAATTGCACAGAGCTCGTGACACAAAACGACAAAAAACAGAAGAAGAACCCCCATGAGCTATCATCAATCGAAGTAACCACCCCTACCAGGCAAAACATAATTTTTCATTCTATTCATCCAGGTCCATCGGGATTTGAGATCGGGTCCGTATTTCAACAGCTCATGGGTGTACCGACGGGCCCTGCCTCTCATTCCGGATGCCCAAGCAGTTGTGAGGATTCAAGCCCATTACCTCTGGCCGCAACAAAAACAGAAACGAAAAACGACAAAAAGAAACAAAGAAAATAAGAGACTATATATAAATAAAATCAAGCTTTTACAAAAAAAAGAAAAAAAAGGAAGACGAAGAAGAGACCATTTGGCTAAGATCAAGTGCAATGTATCTGTTCTGATCAGCTTAGTATCTGATCTGTGGTCCATCGGGCCACCAAAAAAAAAAATAAAAAAATGACAAAAAAACAAAAAGAAGAACGGGGCCCAACCCACTGAGAAGAGAAAAATATCTGTGCGATCTTCATTTAGTGTGACTATGCACCCAGATTCGGGCGTCCTTGTGCTATATATATAAAGCAACCTGATAAACCGCATTACATCAGCCTGGGGAAAACGGGACACACTGCGAGGACACCTTGGGCCCATCAGGCAGGGAGGGTCTTCCAAGACCCGCTGCACAATTTATGAGTTAGATTAGTAGATTAGTAGATTAGTAAAAGCTGATATTACAAAATATAATAATGAGCTTAAAAACTTAGCAGAGAAAAAAAGTCATTATGATTACCCCACATTTTTTCCCTGTTGCGTTGGCCACAGGTACACCCGGAGGGCAAGTATGTGGTTGACATCGACAAGAACATCGATATAACGAAGATCACGCCGACAACTCGCGTTGCTCTGAGGAACGATAGCTATGTCTTGCACCTTATCCTACCAAGCAAAGTGGATCCGCTTGTCAGCTTGATGAAGGTGGAGAAGGTCCCTGACTCAACGTACGACATGATTGGAGGGCTTGACCAACAAATCAAGGAAATCAAAGAGGTGAGGACATGGTTTTCAAATGAATGCATTCAGCAGTCTCTCTCTTTCTCTCCCTCTCTCTCTCTCTCATTCTCTCTCCAGCAGTTTCTCTCTCTCTCTCTCTCTCTCTCTCTCTTTCTGTTCTCCTGCAATTTCTGTCTCTCTCGCA